GTATTGGAATATGTGACCTAACAGCCAGAACCTCTGACATGATCCTATGACATATGATTTCCATGAGGAGGGCAGAGGGAAGGAGTATATGTAGTAACCTGTAAGCTACTTCAGCATCTGATAGGTGCTATTTGGTCTTCCCTTCTTTAGGGAAGGGAATGCAACACCTAGTAAAACTAGGGTGCTAATTTTATTCTTCAGTGTGTCTCATTTAGATGCCAAAAGCAGATAGATTTTGTCACTTTTCTACATGTGTACAAAAATAATTTTCTGTTTTGGTGTTACACTTGGAATTGGATGCTAGATGTGAAGTGATTGTATCACTGCCCTACTTCTTCTGCAGCATTCATTGCCATATTTGTTCTTCTGATGACTAAGATGTCAGACAAAATGTGGATGCCAATAACACTGCATCTCACATGGACTTTATACTAGAGCTCCTTATCTCTGTGACTGCTTGCATTTGAATTTTCTTTTTTTTTTGTCTCTGCATAACGCTGATATGAATGACTAATATTTATGCTGATATTCAAGTTTACATTTTATTTTTGCTCATGTTGTATGTCTTCAGGCAGATAAAATATTAAGACTGTTATTGTAAAATGAATTGACATTTTCAAAAACTGCAGTCTTCAGTCCCCAAATGCTTAACTCTATGAGAACAGTTTTATATTAATAGTATAGGACTCCCAATGCTTGGGCCTGGACTAGCTGGAATTGTAGTACTTGAGATGCTGATGCAAGTTTGTGACTTCTATTTCACCCTAAAAAAGTTTCTAGTATCATATGTACATGTGAATGGATGCAGAATAGTTTAAAGAAGCCAGATTTAAACACACTAACTTAGTCAGACATTAATTAAACTTGCTTTGGTGTCTATTCCCTCTAGTATTTTGTTTCAGAGAAGCAATGAGCTCTTCTGGCTTAGTGGGCTAAAGGAACATTCTCTCTGCTACCAGCAATTCCTAGATCCAGGCAGCTGGAGTCCCAGTCTTCCAGTGCTCCAGTCTTTTTTAGTCCCGTTATGGAGCTTGACCTGAAGATGAGACATACACCCAGGTTCCAAACTTTATCTTCTTTTTGGCATCAATTTCTACTTACATTACAAGTCTGTGACTTCACTATCATTTAAAGACCCTTATCATACTGAACCATAATCACAGCTGCAAGCAGTGTTACATATTTTGAACTGGTATAAAGCACATTCTCTTGCCACATCTTACACCTTCTCTCTGGAAGCATCTCCTGATCTTGCCTGCTTTGGTTATAAGGACAGGAGTCATTGCAGGTATTTTCTGGACTGACTGTAGCAGAGTAAAAAGAACAGTGCAGCAACTTTCTAGGAAGGGGTTTTTTTTTTAAATGAGAACAAAATCTATTGACTGGAAATGATCTAAATGTGATTATAGCCACTGCCAGGTCTCTTGGCAGTGTAAGCTGACAGCTTTCCTTTCCTGTTTTTTTTCCCTCTGATAACATATGTAAACAATCAGTAGTACACGTCAGAAGGTTTCTCTCAGGCTTACGTAGGACCTGCACACACACAATACGGGATGGCGAAATCTCCATCAGGCATAGGACTCATTCTGTCACAGGGCAAATTTGCATTTGCAGGACATAAAACAGCATGATGGTAATGGAACTATTTGCAATTCGGGGAAACAGATGCTGAGGACAGGGTCAGATGACTGGAAGCTTCTGCCCAAGGCACAGCATGACATGAAAATTGCATGGTCCTGGCTTCTCACACACATCCCATGGTTCATTCGCATTTGCCCCTCACAGGCTGACAGAGGCAAAGAGATTATTACTACAAAAGCCAAGATTTTGGAGGGTTTAATAAGGTCTTCATATTTTTCTCATGCTAGGACATGGGGTCATTTGATAAATTGTCAGGGGGCCCTGAAGCTACTGAACACTGTTGAACTTCCTGATGCACATCAGCATTGCTCACAGGTATTGTTTCACATTATACCTGCAGGCACCAGTAGGGGCATCAGTTATTTTTACATGAAAACTGGGATTGTGATACAGTCAAATGAATGTCAGAGTGGGGAGTGGTGGCAGGGCGGGGAGGGGGTGTCAAAAATATTTTTAAAAATATTTGTATAAAAGATTTGTATACTTCCAGGTAAGCATTTCCCACTTTCTCATATTAAGTCTTCCATCAGTTCTACACACATTTTTAACTTGGTTGAAGCCCTTTAAAATAAATGTCTTTGTGCTCACCAAACAACCTATTTTGAGTAGGGACATAACATGGCATAAAAAATGAAAAGAGATCAGAAATTACTGGTGAAAACCAAAATAAACAAAAAATTGTTAAAAATATGGGCAAAAGTGCACCCCAAATTTCCTTCTGAAATGAAATTTCAGGAACAGGAGGACAATGTAACTTGTGCTGGGTAACTAAACTTTCTGCCTTGTAAACTCAGACCAAGGACACTCCAGGGTAGCTCTAAAACTAACCAGGTTTGATCACTGAAATACTTCACAGGCACTGGAGAGTGTGACCAAAAAATGTTGTGCTGCCCTTTTTTGTTTTCTTCACCAATGTAAACAACACAGAATTATATCCCTCAAAGTATCCTTAGAGACACTGACCTTGTGAATACCCTTGATTTTAAAGGAAATGTGAATGATGATGTTAAATGAATCCCTGGCTCAAACAGTTGATCCTTTGTTATCCTAAGCTTTATTTAAGCAGAAATGAACAACACCAATTAGGCAAAGCAGAAACTTATTAATATTCCAGATAATTCTCACTGAACCATTAAGCAGGAAGATATGTTTCATTATTAAATGTAGTTTGCCAGAATATTTGAAACTGTGATGTTGGACAGAGAGCAATGCAAGTATGTGGCAAAATGATATGCCAAAGTGATAATTCACAGACAAAATGTGCTGTCCCTGTACCAAGACAGTAGTTATAAGTCATGCATTGCTTCCTCCCCATAGTACCTCTGTATGGCAGAGTGGAAAGGAGAGGTATAAAAAGAGGCTTGAACATCCAAAAGGACATGTAACGTGTGTTCTCCTTACTACAGAGAACTTTGAAGATACTTCACTCATAATAGCGGCAGAGCACACCAACTGCAGCTGTAAGCAGTGGTTGGCTGTAAGCAGCAGGAGATGGGATATCCACAATGCTGTGCTGCCCCATATTCAAATCCACTTTTCTTGATCACTGTATCTTGTCACAAACCAGAAAGCCAAGCTACTTACTGCACCTTCACTCTTATTTTAAACCTGTCAGGCAGTCAAATTTCTGCTGCTTGTACTTGGTAGCCTGCTCTGCTCCAGAAGGTAAGAATAAGAAAAAGTCACTAAAAGCTGGGCTGTTTTTATTTCATTTCTTGAGACTTACTCATACTCTCCAATTCCTTATCCTTAAGGAAGCTACAAATAAATGATGCAATTCTTTTTCTGGCTTATTTTCATGCTTTGGACTTTTTTCTTTTAGTATAATTTGTACTGGGCCTGTTTTTTAATTAATCTGTATGGATTGTGCCAAAGTAAAAGCCTGAGCTGTCTGTCTCTGTATTCTCACTTGTAATAGGAATGTAATGGTTAATGGTTGAGGGTAAGAAGTATCGAGCTACATAATATACTAGGTGACCCATTCATAATTATTAGGGATTTCTGCAAGCTTTCTTTTGGGGATCAAATTTTAAAAGGATAACCAAACTGAAATTTTAAAAGTCTCCTAAACTTTTAAAAAACCCTCTGTTTAAGAGATGCAGTTGTGATCATTCCTACAGCTCTTGCTGTAAACCTGGGATGGAAGGGGAGATACTTTCCTTTTTTGTGTTTCATTAAAAGAAGAAAATCAGAAACCCCTTTCAGATTAAACTCCTGGTGTTTCATCACCAAACTGAACTGAGATGCTATCTCTAAACATTCTTGTGGAGAGCCTCCAGTTCAGATTAAAAACTAGATCTGAAGTTATCTGTAGACCATCAGGAAACTTTTGGTTTTGCAAAACTGAAGTGGAAAACTTTACGAAAGTATCTCCTTATGAGAAGACAAATACACATGTGTTGTTCTAGGACCAGGACTACAAAGGGAGACAACATGCCCAGAGACAGAGAATGTCCAGAAGGTGAATATAGGTTTGCGTTCTCCCAGACTCAGAAAGGAGCTGAGCATGGCTGTGTCTGAAAGTTTCCTAAACTAGAATAATATTTAGAGGCATGAGTGAAAAAGACATTCTAGAAGCTGGTTTTAATTAGGGAGTGACATACCAGGAGTTTGGAGTCACAGCTGACTGACAGCTCCCCGGGAAGCAGCATCCAGCATCTTCCAACTCCCTGGGCAAACTTAGCCTCTCATCTCAGGATAGGGAAAGTACAGTTTGGGACACTTATCTTCACAATATAATTGGCAAGAATATGGATCAAACTGCATACTGCACAAAAGTGGATGGCAGCCTTTTACAAGGAGAAGTCTTTCCTGCTCGTGAGCTCACACCAAAGTCCTTTGGAGAGCCTCAGCATTGTTGCATCAGAGCTGCTCTGTCTGTCAGGTCTTTACAGCAATAACCTACAAACTGACAGACATACCTCTGCAAATGTGCAAATTCACAACCACAGGTGGCAAAAGAGCCCCCAGGTCAGAGTAAGGAGGCCCTCAGTGAGCTCAGGCATACTGGTGGCAGTACAACACATTTGCTTGAATTTCCTGCAGTGTCTATCATTTCAGGTGCCACCATTCCCTTGGGCAGGTAGCAAAGCAGTCTCAAAGGTGGATTGTGGTATAATCTGTGGTGTGAACATGAAAGTACTCTATTAAGCTTAAACAGAAGCTGAGATGTAGTTCTAATAGCACATATTAAGAACTTTAAGACGTAACTACTATTTCAAGTAACCAAATCCCTTTATGGATCAGACCCCAGTAGAAGAAATTCAAGAGCATTAACACAAAGCCACTGGAGTACACTACCATAGGAAATTTTCCTTTTTTTGCAATCAAATGATTTTTAGCACTCACTTTACATTCCTTTCTATTGGATTCTGGAAATATGCATTCATTCAAAATGTGCCTGATCACTTGCTAAGAAAAAAATGCAAAAACATATATGCAAGAATTAACTGAAATTAGATTTTGTACTTATACCAGCAGCTGCAGAAGAACCTTATCTGAGCTCTAGCAATCCAGCCAAGGAACTGAAATTACACAAATGACTGTGAGTAATCAAAATTAAAACATTTAGTGCAAAAAGCCAGAAATAGCAAATGAAATTCAGCAGCCTTTTAAGAGTAAAATAATGATTCACTCAAATAAATAAACTGGAAATCAGAAAGGTAAACTGTTAAGTATTGAACTCTTTCTTCTGCTCTTCGAAACATTAACATTCCTTTGCTCTGGTGGGAAACTGCAGAGTAATGACTTGACAAAAGCTGAATTCACTGACAAAGTCAAAATTAACATACAGAAGTTCTGACTTCTGATCTCATGATCAGTACCTCAATGTACTATATGATATCAAGCACATTGCTTTAAATGAAGATCACATGATTTTGGACTTCTGTTTCTTCACTCTTAATGCATTCTCATGAAACCCTATGTAGTGCAGGGTCTTCTTTGATCATAGAAAATTAGTCTGTTTTCCTTATTTGGCAAACCCATCACTTTCTCTTTTTGGAGAATTGAAGCTAGGAAAAGAGTTTTTCATAATTTTTATGTGAAAGCCACAGTTTTTATTACTTGATAAAATAAAATCTAATATTCTGAGTTGCATGTAAAGCAGATATGTAAGGATTTCTCTGCTTACATAATGATTCAGTGCAGCTTGCTTTCTCTTTGCATCATCAAACATACAGAATTTACCAGAGGATGCTGATCAGAAAAGTATACAAATACACATTTCAGTTTTAGCAGTCAAAATTGCTTGGTTTGCACACTAGAGAAAAATATGCAGTGCTTTCCCAAAGCCACAAAAATACCAATGATTGCCTATATATTTACCACTTTGGTTCAGAGCAGCAATGCAGTTTTGCAACAAATCCCACCCCCGACTGTTCCCATTTACTGCACACTGGCTCAGCTCCCAGAGCAGTTTTGGTGCACAGAAGCACTGAATTCCCTTTGCAGGGAACTAACCCAGAATCTGTGCTCAGTGCACATGGAATACACTCCAGTGAGGATGTCACAAGTCCAAACCAACCAGTGGAGCCTTTGGACAGCTTTTGGGCAGCTTGCATGGTGAGAAGAGCCAGTCCAAGGGATCAAGCTAAAGGTGGCCTGAAGTTCAAATCCTTTTAATGTTTATAACAAACACACTGGTTCTCAGCACTAACTACTTATGGAGATCTGTTTCTGAAAGTTTCTGAAAGTTATGATGAATTACTCATTAATGTAATCAAAACAAATCCATGAGACAAACATAAAAGGGAAAAAAAATTCAAAAAGTATTAGATAGGTTTTTGTCCAGTATTTTGAGAGGTATCCCTATGTGTTTATTTATCATGCTGGTAGTTCCTCTACAGCCCTTGATATCATCTCTTTCTATGACATAAAATATACAGCTAAGATTTTAGAGATGAAGCAAGATACCTTTGCTTTAAATTAACTTAGATGAAAAAAATCTGAAATGGTAAATTTGAAAATATGGTACCAATTTTGATCAACTATATGTGAACTGAACAGATGAAATAAAAAAAGAAAACATCTCATTCTTAAACTACTACACAATGGGTGATTCCTGATCAGATAGACATGATGGTGGTCTCATTTTACAACTGCTAAAGAATTTGTAAGTTCTTTCAAAATTATAACACCCAGGAACTCCTTAATAAAAATATCACACACACACACAAAAAAAAAAATAGTTCCAGACTGTCTACTACTCCTACAGAGAAAGACAAATTGATCACTAATCTAAATACTAGGGATTGTATAGAGGCCATGGCTCATGCTCAAATTGAGTTTGCTTTGGAGAAACAGATTTTTTTTTAACCTAAGCAGTAACTTTTACAGGAATTATTAGTCATGACTGAAAATAACTGTCAAGCTAAGAGAGCAAATGGAAGCATTTTGTTTTAAACCTGAATGATAAATGAGAATTTTTTAGGAAGGCTTTATTAATTGTAAAACTCCTGTCACCAGGACAGAAGCCTTCCTTTGCTTAAAAAGGTAAGCTCATTTAAGATGATGACAGAGCAGTGCTCAAAGGCAAATGCACATAAACTGAGTTTACTCATTTTGAACTTTAGCAATACAAAATCTACCCCCTTCACAGTTCCTGGCTGATATTCCCTCTTGAAGCTAACAGTAACAGTTCTTTTCTTACGTCTCAGTTTTTATGATGCATTTCTCTGACCTTTCAGAAAGTACAAAGAATTCCCAGAAAATCTGCAGACACCAGTGCTCTCTCCCAAGTACTATTCATTTTTGCATGTTACTGTACCAAGTTATTCCAAGTAAGAGCAGCTATCTGGAGTGAAAAAGTTGGTGCTGAAGACACTGTGTTCACCCAGCATATGTTGCAGGGGATTTTAATTTGAAGGAGCTTGAGCTAAAGGACCCATGAACTAAAAACCCCATGATTCATGTGAGGACATTTGGGAAGTCCCTTCCAGTTTGTAACTAACTTTGATTCTGGCACTCCCAGATCTCCCTTCATCCTGAACAAGCAGCATTAAGTGGGAACAGCTGGGAGATTAATGTACCACAGGAATATCCCCATAGCTCTTGGTACCCCTCTTGGATGTCCTACCTTATGGCCAGGCAGACAGAGGTAAAAGAAATAAAACCCAGTCATGCTGCTTTGCTCTGAGCTCTTGGTGATGCTCTGGTTTCCACTCCACTACACATTCTCATAGCCAATGCAATGAAGTACAAGGGAAAGGAGAAAACGAGCCAGCTGCCTTGCTTTATTTTGGGCAGCATTTGTTTACTCTCCAGGTTGTTCTGAGCAACAGTTAGGCACCATTCTCCTGACTTACAGAGCTCTTTAAATCTTTCTGCTTCTCTCAGAAACAGAGGACGAGGCTAGGAGCTGTCCCATTCACAGTGCCATGTGGTCCCCTGTGTGGTGTCTAGCATCTTGCAGTCACTCTGTACTTCACAACAGTATTTGTGAAAGTGGGGGACTAAATTAAGTGTGCCTGTATCTCAGAGAGGCAATGAAAGCAAACATTAGTAAAGTTTACCCCTTTTTCTCTAGTATTCCTATCACAACTATACTCTTTGATAAAGCAGTGCAGAGGTGTTAAATATGACAAGGATGATTTATTTTTATTGTCCCTTTTGCAGTGATTAGCATATTTTTCTTTTGATTTTTGTCCTCCTGTCTTCAGTTGCTCCCTCATTCCCATTTAATTCTTCCCCCTTTCTTCCTTTCTCCCCCTTCCTTGTTTTGTTTCCCTCAGGTTCTTTCATTGTCACATTGTACTCCTTCAAATGCTGCACACATTTTGTCAATGGAGCCTCTATAGTGGCTGGAAACTGAGAAGACCCTGTATTGCTGCTTGCCAGGCAGCAGGGGACCAGGGATTTCTCAGTTTCCAGCTGCTTTTGAAGCAGCACTGATTGGTTTCTCTTGCTGCTGCAGAAAAGGCTGGCACACAGGAGTAACAAATTCAGCATGTCCTTCTGGCCCGTTTTCAATAGATCTGCAAGCGCCAGGACAGAGATGGGGAGCAATTTGACGCTGTCTGCTCAGCCCCCCCTCTCTTTATTTACCAAAGCAACAGTCTCTCCCTTTGCCTTTCTACCAATCTTTCCTTAATTTCTGTATTTCTCTCTCTGCCACACCTCTTTTCAGTACACCACTGCAGCTTAGCCAGAGTTTCTGTAGAACCTTAAAAACATTTTTCTCTTGTGCTTCTTTTGCAGCAGCATTTAAGCTGAGCGAACACAGTTCTATTGCTCAGTGAAGTGCTACTCAATCACTAACACAGTGCAATGGCTTAAAATGTGCAAGTAAAAACAGAGTAATAACAGCTGCATTTGTACTCAACATAAGGGACAAGCTGAAAGTTTCCTAAGTTTATTAAGGCAAGACAACCCTTTGAATATTCCTTTTAAAAGATTTCTATAACAAAAGAAAAAAAAACACAAACAATGGGAACATATTTAAACATTAAAAGCTTTTTCTCCCTCATGAAGTTTTAAGCATCTCCAATATATTTGAGGAACCTTCTATACGATGCTAAGGAAACACCACTGCAAAGGCTTCTTCAATTAGGAAAATTCAAGGGGCTAAAATGTAATCTATAAGTGGAGAGCATAAACAGTGAGAAGGGATGCAGTACAAAAGCAACAAAAGTCCATATTTACCATATATATGCCCTAGGCCAGCTGTAAATCACTAAAACATTGCATTCATAAAAACACGTAATTGTATTTTATTAATCCATTATTTCCTAATGGTCATTTATCTGGCCATCAGGCATTAGAAACCAGCAGATATTACTGCACACAGAATTCAGAGAACAGGTAGGAAGAAGAGAGGTTAGTAGATTTGAAAATGAGTACAAGGAAGATATGCTAAGAAGCAGCATATAAGTGGTCTGGGGGTAAAAATCAGGCCAAGGCTGCACAAGGCAGTAAATCCAAAATTACAACAGTTAATCCCAGATCAAAACCATCACTGTCTCTTGATGCAATGTATTCAACTGGCACAGAAGGTGAAAGTTTAAATTTGTTCAAAAAGGCCAAACCTTCCCTCTGTGCAATTTGAGTTTGATCAAACATCACTTTTTCTCCAATAGCTGTCACTGATGCAGCAGAAAGAATAAAGCTGGCATGAACAGCCATGGGTGTACACATTCTATGTGCTGTGTGACTCAACACGTTGTGCCTTGTGTGGGCTGAATGTATGTTGCCCAGAGATGTAGCAACTTGCAGAATTACTCTTTACAAAAAACTCAGAGATAAAGGGTGATGTTAATGAAATAAAAGAGTCAATATAAAAAGTTAAACTATAATTCTGGTCTAGATTTTCCCAACAGCTCATCTTCCACTTAAGTACCCAAACATAAAAGCTTCCTCTCAGCCCCTGGGTGCTGCAGGGTTTCAACATTAGACTCCTAAGGTGTATGCATAACTGGATACCTGCTGGGTTGGACATGGTATAGATTCATTTTATCTAGGCAATTAAGAAAAATAAACAGAAATCTTTTTTCCCTGCAATGATAGTCTTACAACATAGTGAAGACTACAGTTTATCCAGGGCAGCAT